CTGTACCCGTCTCTAATAAAGTAAAGGTCACAGCCACAACATGTTGTAGTGCATGGCAATAAAGGAGACCCCACGATAAGGTTGCAATTTCGAAGAATGGAATCCTGCCCAGTGGAAGGACAGGCGAACCGCCTGAGGGTGCCTACCGACACCCAATTCGCAGCGAGGGATATGCCCCGGTGAACTAGCACGGCTATTCCCAAACCGCTACCGCTATCGCCGCTTCCTGCCCAAACCTTCGCTGCCTGACTTTGACTGCCTAGCAGAAAGAACGTTAGCATTGGCAGAAGTCTACGGCCAAAAGCCTAAAGTAGTCCCTTCCAGGGTTTTGAGGCATTTCTCACGTTTTCTTCTTCATCCCTGCACCACTGACCACCTATTTCTTTATTCTAGTGGGCTGTCTTTTCACCGCTAACCCCGCCTCAACAATGAGTACTCCACTGTCAAGAAATGACCCGGTGCTAGGTGAAACAATTATGGAAAACGTGGATTCGCATACCTTTTCGGTCTGAAGTCACCATTCAGCTTGCTGGTCTGGTTTTAAATGACCCTTCGGCCCAGTACATATTTCAAACTCTATAGCTCGGTATCTCGACATTTTTTTTAGGTTTTTTGATCCTCCTCAAGATAGAAACCGAACAAGAAACGAAGAGGATGAAAGGGAGCAGGGAACGAGAAAGAAATTTTCAATGTGCTAGATGTTCCCGAATCTAACTTGACTTTTTTGGCTGTCCCGATACGTTTGGTTTGGCGGCATCCATTTGAAGGAGTCGAGAATTTTCGTACAAAATGAAGCGCTTGTGCAAAAATATGAATTAAAACACAGGCGCAGATTATGTACCCACTATGTACCACAACTTTAACAAGGCTTGGACACTAAGGCCCACGGATGATCAACGATGACGCGCTTCTCTGCTACTGGAGGGAGAGGATTTATTTTCGGCCTTATGAACGATTTCTTCCTTTTTGGCGTGGGATCTAACATCCCATTGTCAAGTGCGATGATACACCAATTCGATCCCGAACTGAACCTTTGAGAAGACGTGCAAATGTTGAAAACGTACTATAAAGAATGGCAACGTTGCGAAGTCCTCCTCCTCTGGCGTAACGTTTTTAATTCTTCGGCTGTAGAGGAATTGGTCAAACCACCTGTCCCCAGCCTGAATAGTAAGAATCGCTTACCAGGGTCAGATTATTAATCAATATGGGTTGCCTGCTCACGAGGATCATCGCTCCTTCTCCGGTGATGGCGTCCTTTGCAGAGATATAATCATAGTTTCTATCGGTGTCAGTAAATGAAGTTCTGTATCGAATTTTGCACTCATTTTGCTCGCGTGCTTTCTTTTCCAAGCTGCAGTTGTAGGTCTGAAAGTTTCGGGGTTGTGAATATATGTCACTAGAAAGAAAACTAGGTAGGTGATTACCATGGCAAGCATGTCTGCTGCTGTTGGATAATGGCGGCCAAAATCTGGGGCTATCGTGGTTTTACCTTTGGCTTGGTAGTTCCTTAATACCCGGAAATTTCGTATTAATTGAAGGCACGAATTACCAATAGCTATTCATCTTTCAGTCGATCCTACTGTAATTCTGAGGTAGCTGGTGTCTGATTACATGCTGCGCCGTAGGAAGCGTCCACGTAAATGAGGTTAACAGACCTCCATTTGTTGTGTATACCAGTGGCTGCTTTCGCACTTTTTTACCATTTCACCGTTGTCAGGTCACAAGAATACTGTGCTTCTGAAAAGCAGACACCTTTCAGACCATCTGGAGTGTTGACTCTCGGTTATTTGAGGAGAAACTCTGCTCTTTTCAGACCAAGGTTTGCTTTTCTTATGTAGAGGAGAACATGATTGGAAAATGGCATGAGTAGAGGCTGATTGTAAGCATAGTCGAATATGATCAATCCTTCCTCGATACACCCACAGATTCAACTTCCGCTCAGAATGGTAGAAGGTCTCGGTTATATTTCAAAACTACAGTGGCTTTCCGGAGTACATTCGATGTTAAAGGGATGTCATCCTTCAATATAGGTCTGTGATCGGCAGATGTCAGGGAAAAGGCAAATCTAGATGGCATATGCTCAAATCGACCCAACACTTCGAACCATATACGCAATAGTCATCCTTAGTGTTCTACCTTATCTTCAAACTTCTCATTCGAGCTCGAAAAAGCACCGTTTATAAAAAGAGGAAACTTAGTTCGGATTTCCAATTCATTGTGGAGCTTAAAGGCTCAAACACCACCACTGATGGATTGCCTTCTGTTAGTTCTAAATGTATAAAACATGCATTGCGCCAGTTTGTAGGAGGTACCAGGTATAGATAGATGATGTCCATCTTCGTGATACTTCATAAACCTTGCTCTGTAAGATGAGGATGAAAGGTTGTCTACTCGCCTCGCTCCACTATTTTATTGGACAGAACGTTCCTCCGCTAGCGTGTTTTGGAAAGGCGAATAGGCTTCTGGATAAATTTCAATCGGGTGGTCTATACGTGTGGTCTCAAACAGACTAAAAACGACTAAATGCTCAATTGTTTCGTCAGGTAGCCCGTACCCCTCTCAACTTGGCCGCAGGAGTGAAACAGAGAGAACCCTGATTGAAATTGATTTCTCCTCCAGTCGATCAATTGTGTAGATTCATCATCGGCCGATAA